TATATTCTTAATCAAAGTTATCTCTTAACAGAAAAAAAATCCTAATCCAACTTTGCCAATTGAAGACATGGTTGCTCTATTGAAAGTTGGTATAAAAAAATTTAAAATACCCATAAACAATTTTGAGAAGAGGATAGCTAAATTAAAATTGTTGTGTTTGGGATTTTTTGAAAGTGATTATTGGGTGACAACAAGAAAATGGAAAACTTTTGCAGAGAAAGACAAGGATAATAAAAAATTTGTAAGATATGAGAAGTGAAGAAAACTAATTATGATTATCCATCTTAGGTGTAAAACTTGTGCCTCCCAACTCTTATAAACATCCTCTTGTTAAAATCGTTTATGGGTATTCTCGCATTTCTCTACACCGACTTTTAATAAAGCAACAATGGCTTCAATCGAACTAGAAAATTTAGATTAATTTTTTTTTGTTAGGAAGGATGGTTTCAATTAAAAAGCTGGTAATTACTTAAGAAACAATGGTAATCAGTTTGAAGTAATTAAGAGTTTTTTATTTGTTTTAAATCCCTAATCAATAATTTTTGGACATTTGGATAGGTTAAAAGGGAAAAACCCAATTCTTAGTTAATAATTTTTTTATGCCATATTATTTGTCATGTGACATTGACGTAATTAAGATGACACATCAACATGCCACATGGCAAATAATGTAGTATAAAAAATTATTGACTGTATAATTAATTAATGGAAGTTTGTCAACGGTTAGAGAGAAGGGTTTATTTGACCCAAAATAAGAGTTCAGGGGCTTACTTGGATGCAATAAAAAGATAGGAGTTAAATTGACTTTCTTGGTATAGCTCAAGAACTTATTTAGGTAATTTGCAAAAAATTTATAATTAAAATTTTAATTTAATTTTTAAGTTTAAAATATTAACTTTTTATAATTTATAATTATTTTGTCAGCTAGTGCAACAATGAACTATTAAAGACTTAATTAATAAGACTTAAAAATCTTCCTTCAGGTATCAATTCCTTTGGCAAACTCTTAAAATTTCCAACAATTACATATGATTGTAGCATAGGTCTTTTCCCTATCTTCCAAACAATGCCTTTTGCTAGGTGCTTGTTATTTGATGTCAACATTACAAACTTTGGATCAACTCATTTGTAACTGGCTTCTCTTATATTTTCTACATGGAGGCCAAATCCATAAGCTATAGCTCCAGAAATGTGATTCTAGTTGCTGAAATGCCATATACTAAGATTTCAAATTCACATATTTGCATCATTATACTTAAATGTACAATAAAAATGCCATATGTTCATTCTTTAAATATGTGGTGAGCACAGAGTGAACTATGAACTATTCTTTGCCTTTTATAATTTGTAATTAAAACTTAAACCTTTTTATTTTAAATATATTTTAATTTTTCTTCTTTTTTTTTAATTTTAAATTCATTTTAATTTAGTGATAGATTGAGAGAGGTAGTTGGCTAGAAAGAGAAAGAAATTTTAAAAAATGAATAAATTACATTTTATATAGCATGATAATTCTTAAAATTAATGAAAGGCATTTTTGTTCACTAATTTTTTCTACTCTATTTCTTGTCTCTTAGAATAACCAATACCAAGCGGGCCTTGGTATTGGCTACTCCCTCATCTCCCTGAATGGCCATTCCAAGGAATGGTTATTCCTTCCAACCAATAAGGTGTTAAATTAATTAATTAAATTATTTAATTAAATCATTAAACCTAATTGATTAAAATTGTTTAATTAAGTTGTTAGGTTTAATTAATTAAATTATTAATTTAAGCTATTAGACCTAATTGATTGAATTAAACAATAAAGTTAACTGGGTTTCTTCAGAACTTGATTAAATTGGTTAATCAAATTATTTGATTAATTGACAATTACAAAATAGCTTTGTAATTAGGGTTTAAAATTAATCCAAGGTATAAATACCTTGCTATATTCTCCAAACAAAATAAGAGAGAGTTGCTGAAAAATTAGAAGAATGGCACATTAGAAGTTCTTTTTGCCTTGTTGTTCTTTGTGCGAAGAAAAATAACTTTTCATTCACTTGATTTCTTTTGTTTGTTTAGCCTCAAATTTTGGTGTGGATTATGAGTTTATGAAACTCATCTTTACTAGCACATTGTCAAGGCATAGCACTCTCAATCCTTAAAGAAGGATTTTCTAATTCTTTAGTGTGGATTATCATTAGAGGTTGCACAAAGATTCTTTAGACAACTTTAATTTGCAACAACTGGGGTAAGGTGGTTAAGCTTTTTGAAGACTGGTTTGATGGTTTAACAAAAGATTCATCAACCTTTGTTATTTAAGTAAAGTGATATGATCATATATTTTATTTATTAATTTAATTTTGTATACAATTTGGCATGAAAGAGATCCTAAGAGGATGAGGATTAATTCAATTTGTTAATTTTATTTTCGCTGTATTTTTATTTGTATATGATGCATGATTAGCCCTCACCTAACATAACAGTCTATATAATTATTGATACTCTATATTTATATGACACGATTAAAACACAAAATCACGAATTGCCAAGTCTACCTATGAGGTGGTGGTATTTATGTCTCGCTACTTGGGCAATATTAGTGAGTGGTATTTCCAACCCACTTTTTAGGCAATATTAATAGGTGCTATTTCCGTCCTACTTTGTAGGCAACATTAATGTGTACCCAATAACATATTAATAACATTTATAATCGACTTTAATCTTAATCACCATTATCCTTTGTCATTGTCATGAACACATTATGTTCCATACTATCAACCACATATCCTAGCATACATTAACAAATTATCAACATCACATTCCATGCATATTCATATGCATTTCACCTTACTATGGTGAACTCAATAGATTCCTATGCCATTTCAATAATAAGAGTTCCATCATTATCATCATGTACGCATATATTCATATACATCAAATAAGCCCAAAGCCATCGTTTCCATGTCCATATACATGAGTTAACTCAACCTCAATATTTTAAGGGTAGGCACCTAATCATCCCTTTCCACATTCAATTAATCATTTATCATTTCCATATCTATAATGCCATTCTAATTCATTTTGGAGAAAAACATTTTGAAGGTGCTTGCCACCATGCATAAAACTACATATATACCTTGAAATATTTACATAGTATACTTATATCTCCAAACTCATTTAAATCATTGGATTTTAACTTCAAACATCTTAGTAACATGTAATTTATCAAATCATCATTCAAGAAAGTAGCATTTAAAGACACAAGTTTTACATATATCAAATTACTGACACATGTTTTACATATATCAAATTACTTTGAAAACACGATATAACACACCTCATATCAAATTACTTTGAAAACACCATAGCAACTCACCTCAAATGCTCCCTTTTACTAACACTCAATCTACACTCCAACACTTCACTTCAAATTGATTCTTGGAGCTTCAACCAACCCTATAACATTCAACATTGATAATCAACTCAACTTTAAGCTATCAATCCCATAATTTGAAACTAAGCTACTGTAAACCCTAACTTAATCTCATTTTAATCTAACTTTCAACCCTTAATCTACTATCCCAAAGTGAACCATACTATAAGCAGTTAAATCCATATCTTCCTTATCTTGTGAGCTTGTAGAGAGAGAAACAAGTGGAAATGCCTCATCCTTAGAGAGAGATAAAAAGTCTATTTTAAAGGAAGAAAGTTAGAAATGAAAATCATAAATTAGCAAAGCTAAAGTGTTGAAACTTCATTTCACTACTCAAATATGGAAAATCAAAGCTGAAGGTGTAGAAAAATGGTACTTTGTAGAATAAGAAAGAAAAAGAAGTTGAAAGTTGAGAGAAAAAGGAAAGAAATTGTGAAGTTAGAGAAAATAAGGTAAAACGGTTGGCCAAGCAAAGAGAAGTAAGGTCTAAAGCTATCAAAAGAGACAAATTTGGATAAGATTATTGTTTTACCCCTTTTTATTTTGTAAAACGATAGTAGATATTGATACTTAGGGCTCAGCAATTGATACTTTTCATTATAGGTTTCAAGCATCGATACTTTTTCTGAAGGTGTCGATACTTGCTATAAAGAATGTGCTTCAAAAGCTTTATGGGCATTAGGTATCAATGCCTCCTTTGAAGGTATCGATACCTTCCTCACATAATGTTATTTTTGTCATGAAATGCACCCATTTTGGTTTTTATCTCCCTCATTTCTTTCAAATAATCATCTTATGAAAGGATAACCATTTATTTCATAAGTTATAACTTTCGGGTTATAATATGAATGATAACTTTTCATATCTAAATTATCGTGTTGTGGTATTTTTCAATTGTCTCATAACTTTTGGATTTAAATGTATTTTTTTAGCATGTCATTTTTCTAAGAGACATAATTATTCACATAAAAAACTTACTTATAATCCAATAGTTATACTATGTGACATAACTTTTTATTTTGAAAATACAACAACACATTGCAACTAAAAGAATAATGAAAAAAATTATTTGTATTTCTTGGTTTTTGGAAATATTTTTGGAAATCCTTTGTTGATTGAATTTTCTCACTCAACATTGACTCTTTTATTTTTTTTACCCATTTTTCTCTTACTTCTCTTTATGCTTTTAGAAAATTATAGCATTTTTTTTAATAACATTTGTCTAAATAATATATATAGTTTTACAATTTTTCACTCGCATAATGAGTAGGCATAGAATTCTTTCTTACAAATCTATTTAGGATAAAGAAAACTAGGAATGAAATAAGTTTAAGCAATAAACAAGGAAAATTATCTTATAAATCAACAGTGAAGGTTATAAAAATTAATAAATAAATAAATTATTAAACGGACACTTAGCAAACTATCAAACTTGCTTGTATAATTTGAAAATTCTACCATTGATATATAAAATGATAATTATAATAAATGATATAAAAGTGAATTAGCAAATTATAAATAATTAAAACGAAAATAAAAGTAGTAGCTTTAGCTTAGCTTCCAACGGTCAAAAGAAGTTTAAAAAACCCCCCAGCTGGTTTACTGTTTCTTCCCTGACGTTACAAAGTCACAAGACTCACACCAGCTCTTTCTTTCTTCACTATTCCTCCATTAGAAACCTCTCTCCTACCTTCATTTTCAACAAGTTTACAAGCTTCAGGAGTCTTAAGCACCAGACCAAACCTTATTTGATCTTCTTATTTCTTTTGTTTTTCCTCATCAATTTCTTTATACATCAACTTTGCATATTATTTTACAGTTTCTAACTCGGTTTTGTTTTCGTCTTTTTCCTTTTCGATCTTCTGGGGTTGGAGAATGGAGCATGAAAGCATAGACTGGAACAACATCGAATCGATATTCGAGGAAGATGACACATACGAGAATATAAATGCGCCTAAATGGGTTGATCTTTCTGCTCCATGTGAAACTATGGATGATGAAGCCTGGTTCTGCAAGCCTGGTACATACAAGTGACTTTGAACTCTGTTTGGTTTCTAAGAAAATTTCATGAACCCGTATTTTAATGTTTTGAGAATAGCAAGTTTCTTTTCACGGGGCTTCTATCTCGCCTAAGAAAGTTAGTTGGTTTTCTTTACAATTGTTTGTAATTCACGCAGGCTGCAAGCATCCCAAGAGTGCAGAAGATTACCTTAAATCAAAGCACTACTCTAAGGTTCCATTTCATTTAAATTATATAAACGAGGCTTTTTCTTTTTCATTTTAATCCACTGCTTCAATTGATGAAGTTTCCTGATTTGCTTTTCGTTTTTCCTTTTTGCCGGGTGAAGTTGCTAAGGTCTATGACTATATCTGAGATTCTTCCTTTCAGGGATAGAACTCGCAGGTATAAAGTTTTCAGCAGCAATTTTCTAAATTTAGAAACAACAATGAATTCAAAGATTTTTATTTTAAACTTGAATGTTAATTTGTTTTGACAGTTAACTAGTAAGTCATCTTTGTTGCAGAGAAGCGAAGGCTAAAAATGGAGAAAAAGGGTCTAAATCTCCAGAAAATGTAAATGAAGACAATGAGAACAGGAACCCAAACTTATCTACTCCACCTCTAAGTGCCAAGACTATGCATAAGAAATTGGCAAAGAAATCATCCATGGAGGAGAAAACTCAGTTGGATGATTTAAGAGACAATTCAGCCAAGTCTGATAAGAAGCGAGGTTTAAAGAATACCTTCTCCGCGCGTAATTTAGTAGCAGGACGAGAAATTTTAAGTCAGATAACAGAATTCTGCGCTGAATTGAAGAAAATGGCAAGGAAAGGTTCAAAAAAAGGGGCACCAGAGAAGGCTCCGAATGGTGTTCTGGGTGAATTGAAGGAGAGGGTAAGAGAAGGAGAAAGGATGCCTCTGCTTGTGGTTAAAGAAAGGAAGTCTAAAGAGCAAGTGTAAATCAAACAGGGGAAATAGAGAATTGTTATTGAACAAGCACTAAAAAGTTTTGTGACAGTAGGACCTAGTTGCATTGTTATTATTTTTTATGTTTTTTCATCAACAGATAATCTTGGACAGATTTGTGACAAATTCTCAGAGATAAATACCTGTATACAATTTTGTCAACTATAAATTTATTTCATCCTTGAGATTTCTCATCCTTTTCATTGCAAACGTTTCCTGTTTCCTTTTGCAAAATCTCAAAATCCTGCTGCATTGGATACTAGTAACTTTTGTCAAGGTCATTTCTAAGAAATTTGTTTGTCACTGATTTTCCTGTAGATCTAGCATCAGCATAAATGTTTTAAAGGTGGATCATTGTAGCCATAAGCAATTATGTTTATACAAATGAGGTTTAGATGGAATTTAATGAATCAGTAAAATTGACTTCAAGATGAGTTTTTCAATAGACGATATTTTAAGATTTATTTAACTTCAATCACTTAGTATGCACAAAGAAAATTATGCGAATAGTCTCAGAGATATAATAAAGTCAATATCTAACTTCGTTTTTATACTTTATTAGAATAAACGACTAGATACATCTAAGGGTTTATAAAGTTAAAAGGTCTTATAATTTACTTTCTACAGCAATTACATTATAAGGAATTTGAATTCCTTTAAGAGATAATGGGAAACTCAAGTATTTATGTTTTTCAGAATATAACACTTCCATTCTTTTGGTTTTTTCTGCTCTTGTCTTATTTATTTTGATGTGTCAAAATTAGTTGACCAGCAAGTATTTTATATAAGCTTGCAATTATCTCTTCTCAAGAATATAATCCTTTCATCAAGGCATTTTTTTGTTTTAAAGACACCTTTGCATTTTGTGTCATAATACATAAATATTAAAACTCAGCCATTTGACATAAAAGGAGTCATCATCAATATTTTTTTATTTAAGTGCAATTGATTGCCTAATTAAATTTATTTTTTTAATGAGGGTTTAGGCTTAACTTAAGTTCATTAAAAAAATAGGTTCTAGTCTAAGAAACTGAGTAGGCTCAGAAGCACAATTACATGTGAGGAACGAATTAGCACCCTCACAATGCCCATTCAAAATGATACCTAATTAATTATGTGTTTTCTTTGTAGCCTTAATAAATTAATTTATTTCAATATCCTAGTTTATTTCCTTTAATTATTTCTCCAATTCATTTTTATAAATAAAATGTCTTTAATATTGAAAATTCTTCCTAAATTCCCCAATCTTTTTGGTAAAATTTAGAAAGATTTTTTCACCTAAAACTTTTTAAGAAAGTGTCCTTTATAACATTCTCAAAATTCCATCATCGGAGGACTTTCATTTATTTTATATTAAACATTCATTATGAAATTATACTTACAAAACCTAAAGTATTTATTTATTTATGTTTTTATTAATTATTTATAAATAAACCTTTTTGGTAAAAGTATGTGGCATTACCCCCAACCCTTATGGTAAGGTCCCATAATTATTTTTACTTTGAAAATTTCAAAAAAAATTTCCCTTTACAACTTTCCTTAAAAATTCCATTTAAAAGATTTAATTTTAAATAATTACAATCTTTACTATTTTTACTTTTATAGCTTTATTCTACTAATTATGGTGATAAAAATTTCATTTTAACCTAATATTGCCTAAAACAAATTTTATTTTTATTATTTTATGTATTTTTATTAATACTAAAAATAAAATAAATAACAAAAAAAAAGCATAAATAAAGTAAGTTGAAAGTTTAAGCCATGCTTAGTAGATGGAACAAAAATTAAATAGGATTGGACCTTGTCCAATACAATCCACAATTAAGTAATCCAAAGATCTAAATAAAACGGGCTTGGATAATAAACTAACCAACCCAACAACCAAAGCAAGCCCACAGCCAAGACCAAGCCAAAATATTTGAGTTTCCCTCCTCCCTCTCTTGTAAACATTTTTTTTTATTTCACCAAGATATCATCGACTGCCACACTCTCCACTGTTTGTTGCCATTCACCAGTGTTGAAATCTCACAGAAATTCACCTCCAAAACCCTTTCAAGCCAATCTATCTTTTAATTAGATTCGTTTCTTTAAATCTTCGTCGAAATTCCTAGATCTAAATCTAAAAATTTCAAA